TCTGGGCTTTCTACTAAACCAATGTCTGATATTTCTGACTTCAAGGACTTTTCCCAGATTGGTGATTCTTTCCATTGTTTTCACTTAAACCTAATCTAGTATCTAATTTTGCCTCTGAATTCTGCCATGCTTTGGCTGGCAAGTAGTCCTGGCGATAGTGCACCCTGCCTTGGCCCTGATGTACAGGGGGACTCAGGCCCTGATGTACAGATGTTTGCTTTCCGCCACACTGCAGAAACTCTCAGGACAATAACTTTGCCCTTGTGTGTCCACAGTCATGATAACATTTCTTGCAAATTGTAAATTTTTAGTGATTTTTTAGTGTTTAATTGAAAGCCACTATCCCACGCCTTATGCCTCTCTTCTAAACAAACAAATAAAACAAACATGTTTATATCATTTATCATTTAACTATTGTTTGGTTAACCTGTTTTCATCCTGATGAAGGGTCCATTTTTGGGAATTCTGAGATTAAGAGCCACAGTCTGTTCTCTCCAGATAACTTTCAAGGGTGATTTTATTCTAAATTAAGGAATAGTGACATATTTTTCACTGCCCACTTTGACATAACTGTTTGAAATCAAATCTATTCTGAGCTGATTTTCATTTCCTATTCTGTTTACTGTTAGACGAACAGCTGATTTTATACGGCTTTCTTGGACTGATCAGGTTTTTGTTACTGGGCAAGATACCTGACCACTGCTACTTAAAGGGGTTTATTTGGCTCATGGTTGCAGAGGATTCAGTCCATGCATGGTCAGCTTGGTTCCAAAGCAGAAGCATCATGGTGGAACGCTATGGCAGGGGAAAACTTCCCACCTTATGGTAGCCAATCAATAAAGATCAAGGGAAGAGCAAATATGGAAGAGGCCAGGGACCAGATGTAGTCTTCCAGGTCACACCAGTGACATACCTAGAAACACCCAGAGTGTGCTTTAGACAATCAAATTGGCAACCAAGATTAATGATCACATTCCCCCTATGTATTAAATACTTGTAGGGATTGACCTTTGGGAACAAAGCGTTACAGCAAGAGAAGAACTCAAGTTAAAGACCTCTTGCTCATAGCTCTCATGCAGTTCATTCCTCCCAATAAGTCCCAGCCCAGCTCCTCTGTATAGAGCTTCTTATCTAAAGCTAAAGGCCTGGGGGCCTGCCCCTTAAAAAAAATAAATCAAGCTAAAGGCCTTCTCTAAGCCAGGGTGACAAGTCATATCAAAATTGCAACTATAAAAATAATGTTAAACACAATATAAAAGGATCTAAAAAGTGCTAAAAGAGCTAGGAAAAGACATTCTTTAAATAATCACATTTATTAACCAGATCCTTTTTTTCTGTTTGTTCAAATCCTTATGAAAACCCTAACTTGTTATCCTGATTGTGTGATTTTTGTCTTGGAAATTCACCCACTGTCCCTCTGGACAGTGTACCCTGATGTAAAGAAACTCTTGTCTTTCTACATTCCTTGTCTATTGGTAAATTCCTTTTACCACCTGTCAGTGGTAAAACATACTCTCAGTGCAGATGCTGTGTAGCTGTATGGATTTAGAGCAATTATTTAATGTATTGGAATCTCAGGTTCCTAAAATATCAGTCAAGAGTTAAATTCTGTGAGAAATGCAACAGGCCTAACCCTAACCCCTAAAATTGACATAAAATGGATAAAAATATGGATAATTGCAGAAGTCCTGAAACCTCTCAAAATTCCCCAAAAGCTTAATTTTCATGTTTGTCCTTGTACTGGTTTTCTTATAAATATTTTTTTCTGCCAAATACTTTGTTCCAATTTGCCAGAAGGACAAAACACAGCTAGGCTTTCACGACTACTTTTCCCACCTAGCCCCTTCTCCTCCAGAGTCACTGAGTGCTAGCCTGGGCACACATGGACATTTTCAGGAGGTCCACGCAATGCTGAGGAATCATATTACCAACATCTATATTAGTCTTCCACATCTTGCCTCCACCAAATACCTCAGCTCTCACATATATAGTTCTCCTCTCTCTACTTTTTAATTTTTTATTTTATGAAAAAATAAATCTTCATAAGCAAATAATAGAATAACATCTCATTACATTGTAAATCATTATTTAAACTACTTACTACAAGTCCCTCTATTTTCATACTTCTCTTGCTTTTCCTTTTCAAACCCTCTCAGAAGCAACCTAACAGCACCACACTTTCTTACATAGAGCACCTTAATTACATTTTACTGCTGCTTGAGTTTTGACCACCTATAGGGCCTTACCTTCTCTCTGAGGCTTATCAAGAAAAGTTGGTTTTCTTTCAAAAAATGACTTGGATGCCAACCAGGAGAAATGGATGGCAACTAAGGTAACATTCTGTTTTAGAAAATTTTCCCACTATTTTCATTATCATGACTTCTATCACCATTAAAGCAATTGGCACTGGATATAGTGCTGCCAGATCTCCTTTGTGGACCAAGCTTTATACAGGGTAAAAGGCAATTCCAAATTTCTTGGGTGACATAGAGAAATATATAGGTAACTCATAAAATTTTGAGAGCTCACTAGGTCAGACAGAACCGATCAGGCCAAATGTATGTAAAGATCTTGTTCTTTATCTGAATAGCTTCTCTAGTCCATCTCAAAGATTGGAGGAGTTTTGCTGAGGGCAGATTTTCACCCTGTCTGTTTGTTCATGGGTCATTAGAACGGAAGAAAGAACCAAATTGCCAAGTCAAGGGAAAAAAATTTAGAACTTTTGAGAAAAGGGGAAGTGAAGAGACAATTAGCTCGCAGAGAACAGGAAAGTTGGGGGAGAACACAGCTATCTGCAGAATTATTTTGTTAATTTTTCAGAGTGGTTAGCTATGAAGCCTCTTCATTACTCCACCTGTTCCTCAGTAGGTCATCATGGATCTGGGTCTGCTTTAGGCCTGTGTTGAAGAATAGAGCCAGGCCTCAAGGATGCTAATAATTATACAGGAAGTATGTGGCAATTGGGTCGCAGATTTTTCATATCAGAGTTAACAATACAACTAGGTTTTAATTTAGTGACATATTTCTGCAGGAAACAGCCATAGTGTATCCCAGTCCAGCTGATCTATGATGAACATTTCCAGAAGAATGGATAATTCTATGCTCCTTTGGTGTGTAGAGATGTGCATCATACCGTTGCTCCACTGTCCGAGTGGTTGAGATTGTAAAGACAGCACCAGTAATGAATTTAAGGAACCAAGTTTAGGAAGGAAGACACTTTATCTGAAAAGAAGGAAAGTTAGAAGATAAAAGCTGTCCTGTGCCAGAGCAAGGGGCATCATTAAGACAAATTCTCATGGGCCTTTGCCCTCAGCTTCCTTCTATTATATTTTGAGGAACTCTCCCCCCACCCACCCAGGTTGACACCTGGAACTTGTCACAACCTGATTGGCTCTCTGGACTGTCCTAGATGAATCCCAGGCCCAAGACCCTAACCTGGGCACCACTGTCTATGTGCACATTCCTTTGCTGTACTTTGTGTGTTTATACCCTGCCCACTTGTCCTTGTCTGGAGCTGGATTTAGAGGTTGATGAGCCTTGCACATAAGAAAACTTAAATAGAGATTAAGGAGAGGTGTGTTATCTACTACAGTAAATATATATATATATATAGAGAGAGAGAGAGAGAGAGAGAGAGTTTTAAGTGGCCACTCTTCATTTCTTTAGCATTCTATTATAAGCAGTAAGGGGCTACTAACTCTGAGGAACTTGGCTTTCTCCATGCTCTACTTATCCTACTCTCTTTCTCTCACACACACTCTCTTCTTCTCTTTCTCTCTATATATATCTCTCTTAATTGCTCCTTCTAGAAAATATTAATTCTTTCTGAGCACGATTTGCCAGAAATCCTAATGAGGACCTATTCTATTATTTTCCTGTCTACAGAAAGATCTCCTACACATTTTAAAAAGGGAATAAAAAACAGTAGAGCAAACAAACAGAAGCATTAGAAATGGTACAGAATTTCACTAAACAAGCAAAATAATAGGAATTCAACAGTGGTTGTTATTGCATATTGTTGTTTTCAAATTAGTTGTCCAGATTACCAGATATAGGCATTTAAAATTGGTCAAAAAATTTAAAAAATCAAAAGGGAGAGAGAAAAAATTAAGCCTTAACTGCTCCTTTCAATAGAGCTGCAGTAATTAGCAATATAATTATCCAAGCTATCCTATGTATTTCTTTCATAAAAATTAATGCTCTGGGTACCAGGTGACTGATTTCATTTCATGTAGAGAACAATTGTGTGAGGAAGACAATGGCATCCCCATTTCATAAGTAATTCTGCAGTTGTTAGAGGTAATGGCTCACCTGGGTCACACCATGAAGACAGAAACAGAGTCCGCATGGTGTCTCATTCCACACCCCATGCCTTTGCCCCTCACCACAGTGCAGGTAGGTAAGAGATCTGGGAGAAGGGAAGGGGTTGGCTCTAGTATGAGTCAAGGGATCTGTTTTAACTTTTCCTTATAACATCAAAGCAATGTTACCTGCAGCTAGCCATACACTGTTGTCTCTAAATTGACAATATAATGCTCCTAAAAAGGAATTGACTTCAGAAACTCTGGGTGAGTCTAATAAGAAGAGACAGCAGGACTCAAACTTAAAACCTAGTACAGGGCACTAGCCTCTTCTCTCTTTTTGTTTGATGCTCATGAGTGCTACACATGGAAGTTGAGTTTTAGGGTAGCTGGAGAAGATGAGAAGGCCAAGGTAGTTATAAAGGCTAACCTTTATTTACAGAAGGGGAGTGCAGTGCAGATAGGACTTTTCTAACTTGAACAAGACACCATTATTTCCTTAAGTTGGAAGCAAGGATAACACCAACTTCATAAAGCTTCTGTGAGAGTGTACCCCAAAGTATACAAAAGACTGAGGAGGTAAATTTTGATTTTCAAGAAAAGTGTATCTGTTTACATGTGTATCAAATTTTCACTGTATTTAGAAGTATTATCATGTACCATATTGAACTGAAATGGGGAAGAAGAGACAGGCAAAAGCAAAATCAGACATATTTATATTTCATAGTGCTCTCCTCCTTTATCCCCAAGATCTTGTTTTTCTACAGAAAATATAACAAAAGATTGAGCTATATAAACAACTGTGGGCCAGGGATGGGAGTGATAAGGAGCAAAATGGGAGTGGAGGAGGTGACTGATCTCTTAGACATTCTTCCAGATCCGCTGAAGGGCATACACTTTCTCTGTGATGTAGGAGACACCACTATGCAAAACTCTTTGTGGAAGGATTTGAAGTCATTTTCCAGTGATTCTTTAGGATCTCCAGAATTTTCTTTCACAAAGTGTTCCTCAGTATGGATCATCCACTCTTAAAGAAAAGCAAGCAATTATCAGATAAACTGTGGAGGTTAAACAATGGGCAAAATTAAAGCGTTAGTAGTCAAGGGAAATATTCACTAATGGTGAGAAGAGGTGCAAGGACATTCTCTAAGCTGGATGCTCTGGATATAGGATATTTTTAGGAAGGTGGGAAGAGGACTGGAGTAGCAGTACAGTCCCATCAGAGGTGGCATTAAAATGCCAGCGGACTGAGTAAGTCTGCATGGTTGGGGTTCTGCATCTCTAAGCAGCTGCCAGTGATGCTCACACTGCTGGTCACAGATGTCATTTGGGCAGATGTCTGCATGGCCACTTATACCTCTAGGCCTGAGGAGGCTGATAGGGGAGACTCAGGAATGTGAAAACTGACATCTTCAAATGGAATGTCAAATCAGAGAAAATCAAAGCTCATGAAAGGAACAGAATTAGGGCCAAATGTCTAACTCTGACAGGATGCAATTTAAGGAGATGGTGTCAAATTTAGTCTCATGAAATAAATGACAGTTTTGTGTGTGGGAAACCATATCATTCTTGGAAAGGAGGGGGAGAAGCCAATTTGGTGCACCTCCCCTTGGCACCTTTCAAAGTCTGAGACTCTGGTCTCACAATGAGCTGTCAGGGCAAACCACAGCTGTGCAGCTGCAAATGTGCTTGCCAAAATAGAGATGAAAATGTTTCTGAAAACAGAATCTAACAACAGATACCCTCCTCTGAGGTTGGCATCGTATCTTCCTGTGTATCTTGGGCGTAGCTTTTACCCAAGTAGAATTTAAACACTGGAAACCAAATGTGATAAACAGAACCAGTTTGCAGAAGAGTAAAAGAAAACCACTAAGAACCAAAACCACATTTGCCCCAGGAGTCGTTCATTCACCAGCCAACAGCTAGTAGGAATGAGTAAAAGGATGGTGAGAGGTAGCTGCATGGCTTAAAAATAGATCAGTACCTAGTACTTTAAGGTTCATTTTTACCTGGTGCCTTTTCTAGAAACATACTCTATATCTTGTGCTCCACCCTTCTTCAGTGCCATGGCACAATGGTTCATTGGGCAAAAAAAAAAAAAAAAAAAAAGAAAAAAAAGAAAACTTCACACGGCTAGAAGAGAAGGGCATCTGGAGCTTGTAAGAGTAAGAGTAAGGTTTTCTGAGTTATAGAATCACGATACCCTGATCCAGGATACCTGGATCCAGATGCTTACAAACCCGTCTCGTCATTTGTTCAACAATGTCACTCTAGCTGTTACAACTCTCTGTGCCTTATGTCATGGGGATATTAATAGTTCCTACTCTCACAGGCTTGTGGGAAACATTTAATGATTTAACTGAAATTAATATTTGAGAAGAATTTACTACTAACTCTCACTAGCTCAAGGTATGCAGGAAAGTTGTTTAATTAGTTCTATGACCAAGAGTATTTGAGCATGATGTCTACTGAGATTCTCTCCAGGCTTAAAATTCTATGATGTAATGAACAAAGGTCACTGGGGTCAATAAAACAGAGTTGTCCTAGGGCAGCTGAGCAACTAGGACATAGAAAATAGATGCTCTGTTTCCATCAGATGCTTCCAGAGCACCTGATGGAATGATGGGGACACATGTGGATGGGGCCAACCTTCCTTTCCAACTTCTATTCAACAGAAACTCAATAAGCCATGTGCTCCAGACCCTTTTCATGGCCTCCCCACTGTGAGCTGAGGGCCATACCAGTGTGCCATGACTTACTTCATTCTCTCCTCTGCACTGCCTTCCTTTCTGATTCTCTTCATCATCAACCTCAACACCAAAGCAACCCACACTCCTTCATAAGATTGTTCCATGGTCACCAAGCCCAGTGATCTTTTTTTTTTTTTCACCAATGGAAAATCCACTAGCCATTTATCATACTCTACATTGTAAGTTCCTAAATTTATTTTCTTTGTTCTGTATTTCTGTCTTAATTTCTCAATAAGATAGTAATCTCCCTGAAGCTAGAGATAAACTCTTCTTGTTTCAATCAAGCTTGGTATTGTTGTGATACAAAACAGTTCAAGAAACAACAATTCATTCATTCATTGTACAAATCAGTGAATTAATGTGACAATTTGCTTAATATGTAATAAACTTAATGCTAATATCTTTCCATCCAGTATCTCTTCCTGTCCCCCCAAGACATCTAAAAAATATTGGGCCAATCTGTTTCTATCTAGTAGCAGTTAAAATAAGTGATTCCTGTGGCCAGAAAACAGATCTGGGTAGATTGTGCCAGAAAAGACTTTCACTCAGTGAGTGGGAACGTAAAAGAAATATTTGCATTTTGTGGGTTTCCTGTCATAAAAATAGAGAGGCCAATTCCAAAAAGGGACCCTTTTCCTACTAGGACCCTATCTGCAGAATTAAAGAAAAGGTAATAGAATAAAAAGCACTTTCACTGGCCCTAGGCCTCCATGCAGTACCCCCATTTCTCTTCTTAAGAAGATGACTGCATGTTCTGCTTCTGCCTTCTCTTCTAGAATAATTCCTTAACTTTTGGCATCTGACTTCCATCTGCACTGAACACAGTCTCCAAATGGACATCCTAGTTACTCCCACTGGAAACATATGAGTTTTCCTGACCCTGTTTGAGACTGTTTCCATTTCTTCTTTCCCTGGCATCTGTGTTTCCCAGCCCTTCCTCATCTTGCTTCTACTTCTCTGGCCACCTCTCTTCATCCTTCTTTTCCTTGATTGACTGGATGTTGATGTCAATCTGGTTCTCATCTTCTCCAATGTCCTTTCTATTTTCAAATGTATACTCACTCCTGGGATGGCTGTGACCTTCTGAGATAGGACAACCCCAAGTCTCCTGCCCCAACATAGGACCTGTGCTGTAGGTAGATCCAGAAGACTGCACACACAGCTCAGATACCTGAAGCTCAATGTATATAAACTGGAACTCAAGATCTTTACCTGAAAAATGTGTCATTCTTTTAAGTTTCCTTTTAGGCAAAAAATAGTACTGCCACCCACAGTTTCTAAGTCAGAAATATAGTCTTCTTAATTTCTCTCTCTCTCTCTCTCTCTCTCTCTCTCTCTCTCTCTCTCTCTCTCTCTCTCTCTCTCCCTCTATTCCCTTCTCCCTTAAAAGCCATATTCAGTTGATTGTACCTCCTCTTATCTCATGAACCCAATCTCGCTGCAATTTTTTTCAGACAGCTTTAGCCTAATAACTTCAGATGGCCACAACATAGTCTTTTTGCTCCAGACTGACCCACCTCCATTGGCTGTGCAATGACCCTGATAGGAGGCAGATGTGACGCACACTGATATTTTTAGTATTACCCCCCAAGAAATCAACATAAAGTCCGTATTGCTTAGGATGGCTAGTTGATGACTTCAGGATCTGACTTTTGGTGCCTCTTCCCCACCTTGAGCTCCATTCACTAAACTAAGGTTTACTAAGTGACCATTTGTGATTGGTAGGGTAGTTGTCTAAATAAGTGGTCAACCTCTTCAAGAAACCCCTTGTTTCCTTTTCAGCATTTAAAAAAAAAGCTCAATCTATCACCAAAGTGCATCATCACCATTTTTTTTACTTATACTCTCCTTAATAAAATTTTAAAGCAAGTCACTAAACTCATAAAACTGAAATATTTTGCTATCTTCATTTCTGCCAGACACTTCATTTCTCCAGGTTAAGAATATGAGTTTTGAGATCAAACTAAAAAAAAGTCTCTTTGGAAAGTTGTGGGTAGAATTCATGAGCCCAACGTTTTCCATGTTTCTGAAAGTCAGTGCTTAGGGTTAGGGTTAAGATTAGAGTTAGGGTAGGTCTAGGGCACACTGGTTTCTCAAGAAATGCTTCTTAATTATTTTATGTAGGTCCTTCATATATGTGAAGCCTGTATTCCTCAAAAAAATAATAAAGGAAGGAAGAAAGGAAAAAAAGAATAAATAAAGAATAACTCCCTTTACATAAACTGTCCCTTCCTAATACATGTGCATTTATTCATTCATTCAGCTCAGCTAATAACAAAAACAGAGCTTTGCAGGGAAATTATTGATTTATCACTTTATCTGGAAACTTCATTTAGACAGATTCCCATGTTAGCACCTGCTCAGGGGTTAATGTGCCTCGCTATGGCAGGACACATACTAAGGAAAAGCAAAAAAGGATGAACAGGTATATAAACTCTTCACCCATAAAACTTACCTTTTCTGAGATCTCTTTCCTAAAAATAGAAAAGAAAACAGGGAAAATAGAATCAATGAAAACTACTCAATATCAATTTTTAAAGGGGCCCCTTATCCTCAGAACTGTCTTTTGGGGTGCACTGCAGATTTGTGGGTTAGACCTTCATCTCTACCTAAGGGGTTTGAGGTGCTGGCTGAAGCTTCCAATTCAACGATGGTAGTTACTCCAACAGAGCAGGCACGTTGATGCCTATGCCTCTATGGTGCTGTGCCATTCTTAGGCTTGTCATGAAGACAGATGTCTCAGCTGAACTTCATGGTCCTCTGCCCCAAGATGGTCATTCTCATGCTTACCCCACATCTCCTTCTAACTCCAGTCTCTTCCCTGAAGGATTCAGCCACTAATAGTGTAAGAAAATGTTATAACATTTCTCAGTATCTTCTCTATGTGAAGTCACAAGAAAATTCCACTCTGATCTCAATATTAGGAACTGCACATGTTATCTGTATTTTCGTCTCACAACACAAGGACTGGCCTGGCTGACTATGCTTTCATTTTGGACTGGCTTCAAGGAAACACAGAGTCAGGCCTGATACCCACTTTTATCATGTGTAGAGGACTTCTTGTCAGAGGCCATTTCTGTAACCTACCTAAATTTTGGTTCCAACTTATTTTTTGTGTCCCAAATTTTCGCTTTTCATTTTTTTTCTTGCTTTTTATCTAGTTTGAAGTTTTGAATGCCTTCTGTAAGCTGTCTTATATTCTTTTTGAAAAAGCAAAATATTATAAATATATTAATGAATGCAGGATGGAGGTATAGAGGAAATCAAAGCACAAGAAAAGAAGAGATGAGGAGAGATAGGAAGAGACATGGAGGGAGAGAGATAGAGAGACAGACTCTGTGATGAGACTCTCTCTCTCTCGTGTGGGTGGCTGTATATTGCAACATCTGTAACCTGGCCCTCTAGAATCATCCCCCAGAGGTGAAGACCCCATTTTCCCACCTGCAGTGTTGTGTGTCTTTGGACGATTACATTTCCTCTAAGAACCATGATTCTTCAGCTGTAAAAGGCGCATAATAAACCAAGCACAGTGATGCTATAAGCCCAGCTACTCAGGAGGTTGAGGCAGGATGATCACAAGTTTAAGGCCAGCATAGACAACCAGGAAAGGCACTGTCTCTAAAATTTTATGAAATGGCTGGGGATGTAGCTTAGTGGTAGAAGGCTTGCTTTGTGCAAGCAGGCCTCTGGGCTCACTCCCCAGTGTAATCCTCTAAAAAAAAAAAAAAGGAACAAAATAACTGTGTCTTCCTTGTTGATTGATAAAAGAAAATGTACTCAATAATTTAGGCCAATGCCTAGAACTTAGAGCTCATTTTCTGCTTTAATCCTTAAAAGTGTTTGAATTATTATTTTGAATCTTTTCTTCCCAAACATTTTAGAGTGATGACCAAACAACACTTAGGGAGAACCAAGTATGAGTTAACTTCAGTTTCCATTTTTTTTATCTACATAGAAATATGTGTGGCTGTTTTCTTTTGGGGAAAAGGAAATTAATAATAATAGATCAGCAGAACTCTGTTCCTACTGAGAGGGCTTTTTGCTGAAGAAAAGGGAACTTAGGGGGCCTGTATTCAGTTTCATGTCCCATCCTTGCCTTGGCTATTGGTTGAGGTGGAAAAATTTTCCAACCAAGTTTTAGACAAAGACAAAAACAGACTTACAAATCTGAGGACAGTGTCTTAGGGGACAAACCTGGGTGGGAGTCTGATCTCTGACTCTGGGCCCTATGAATAGGGGATTATAGATTAATCCTGAAATGTCATTGCCTTAAATTCCTTTTTTACCAAATAGGGCTGAAGGTGATGACTGAATAAGCATGGTAAGACCAGGACCAAAGAATTGTGTACCTACATGGGCCAAGTATGGGTCAAGTTTTTGGCACGGATTTCTTTCCCAGAAAGGAGCTAAAGTTTGGTTACAAAGACTACCAGGGAAGGATCCAAATGCTAGGTTCAGAGGATCCATTCTCTATTTAGAGTACAGAAGGATGGAGTCAAGATTCACTTCACTTCACCAGCCATGGTGTTGTAAAGTTCCACCTGTTCCCTTTCTTCAGCTTTCTAAACCCAACAAGCCTATGACATTCTCCAAATAGAAAAACACTATATACACAGATTTATTATGTATGAATATATTTATGTTATACATAATTTATACATTCTATTTACTATTTTTCACTTTTATTCTTGTCAATGAGTTGGCTAAGCTCTGTCAATTTGTGTTGGGAACCTAGCCATCATTTCTAACTGTCTCTACAGGAAAAATGATTTTCAAGATTTAAAGAACCAACTTACAACTAAGATTTTTTGAAGGCAAAGTCACTTACTTGAAAATTGGGGCAATGGTAGGAGTTTCACATGTGAAGACTAGCCTATTGTTAACCTGACAGTCACCCTGATGTTCCTACACAGTCAGTGATCTGCGGGCCACCTGTTCTTGGTGGCACACAACTACCCTTAGTGCCCGTTATCTGCTTCCTGTTTGCCCCACACTCATTCTCACAGCAGGGGCATGGCAGTTTTCAGGTTATCGGGTTGAGATCTTGTACAGAAATGACTCCAAGGTAAAAAGTTTAAAAACAACCCTATGCTTTGCTCACCCTACTGATATATAAAACAACCTTAGTAGACATAACTGAGTCAATTCTTTTGATTCCACAAACTTCTTATTAAAAGACAGAAAATTTTGAAATATATCTCCTCTCTGTTAAGATAATTGCCCTATAAGCCCTAGAGCCCTTAAAGTAATGGAATAATAGCCACCTTGTCCCAGAGATCATGTGATTACTTGGTCTGTTCTCTACCCATTCAGTTTTGCCATCATCACTCAAGGCAAGGACAGGTAGGGCTAAGTTCTGAAACCTCAGTGGAAAAACTAAATTATGATGAGAAAGCAGGGTCATTCTTCTTTTACCTTAATGTAGTGTGTAAGCATTTAGTATATTATGTGGTAGTGAGATCCCATCTCCATGTAATTACTAATAGTAGGAGAAGAGGCATGTCCACTGTTCTGTGGTCTCAGGTGAGAGCGATTGAATTTCTTGTGTATAGTGTTCCCTTCCTTATCTTCCTGGGTTAGTTAGCAAATTCTTCTAACACCTTCTATTTTTAAAGTTGGGTAAAAGAGCAGATCACACTGGAAAGACATTAGGGATTGGTAAATGCTATTCTTTTTTTTTTTCAGAACTGGAGATTGAACTCAGGCTCTTGAACTTGCCAGGGAAGTGCTTATTCTTCTGAGCCATCCCCCTGCCCTAGTAAATGATATTCTTGCAATGGCCAGTGCATATGTGCTGGCTCAGTGATGGAAGACCAAGGCAGTCCATGCATGCCACAGAAAGGTTAGCAATAGTTTTGAGCTCATCCATGGTCCCTGAACTGGAAACAGGGTATCTTAAAAATTCCCAAATGTCTATGAGTTTTATAATGAATTTGGCCAAAAGAGATGGTACACTCCCAGAACCTGCTGCAGACTAGAGGCCCATAGCTAAAAGATTGGACCCATTTTAAGGGATGGATACACTAAGTGGGGAGGAAAGGACAGTAATGCTGTGTTCTTCTCTATGGTCCATGCAGCAGATAATACTTGCTCCAGGCAGTCCTCCTTCTACCCTTTCCTTCTCCCTTCCAGAGTGAAGGGAAAACACTATGTTCTTGGTGACATCACAGAGAACACGTAGGGCTTCTCTCAAGAATAATGCGGCTCACACATGGTAGGGGGCAGGCAAGTATTTTAACTGTAAAGAAGCCAGGTACTTGAAAGAGGAATCTTGAAAACCTAAGTGCACATTAGACTCATTTTCAAATCAAAGGCATGTAGGGTCTTAGGGGGCAGACATTATACATCCTTTTTTTTTTCAAAATTAAGAGCAAGAACCATTAGATTGTCTCATTTAGTGGTTAGTCCCCTAGAAAGGTGAAAACAATAGGTTTGGCTTTTTTTTTAGGTTTGCCTAGTGAATAGCAAAAGTCAGTGGGCTTGTTTCCGTGAAGGTGTGTACTGGTGTACTGACTACTTTACATGTCTCCAGGGACTGAGGTCTATAGATCATGAAGCTTGGCACCTGCTTTGGTTGACTCTATTGCACCTAATTTCCTGTGGGTTTCTTTCTTTTTTTCACTTTAAAGTTGGTTTATTTTCATATGAAATTAAATTCACATACTTTTTCTTAGTCGTCTTGCCAGCCAGATGATAAAGGCCAGCCCGGAGAATGCAGTAACCATGACTGCCACTGGGATGAAGAGGGGGTTATAGTCGCCTTCCTTGATCATTGAGAAACTTTGGTCTGATTCTGAAAGAGAAATCAACAAGGCACACAACATGAGACTATGGCATATTTCTTTAGTCCAGCTCATGATTTGGACTTTTTTCCTTCATATCCCTCCCAATGTGAGCCCATTTGATGCCTCTTGACAGGAAAGAAAATTCCCAAGAGGACCTGAGGCGGATACTCAGAGGCAAATACTGGACCAGCCTCTAGCCTAGTGCTATAGCATCTCAGTCCCCACATTTGTCATCCAGGAAACCTCTTGGGCCAGGTCTAAAAATCTTGGTAGTCAGTAGTCATTAATATGTTTGACTCCATGGTCTGGCTTAATGGCTCAAACTATAAAGCACAAAAAAGATCTGGAAAGTCTAATACAGCTTCAGGGAAAAACCAGTGATCTGAACTGGGTAACTTAGTCAAAAGAAACTAGTGCTATTTTTACTGTATGCTTAAAAAGTAATAGTGCAAAAAAGAAGCATTTGCTTATATGCAAAGAACCACACTGATCTAACAAATGGTACCATCCTAGTTTCTCTTTATGTTCTTCACAAATTAGTAAAAGGACACATCTGCATACCGTTTTATAAGGGTAAACTGGGAGCATTTACAGGCTTTTACTGAAAAAAAGAAAAAAATCTGCTTTGTGATGCCTCCAGTTGAAGGAGTCTACTTTAGGCATGGGATCTAACTGGCCCCTTATTCTTTATGCTGGTTTGATGAACCCTTTAAAGGTGTTTCCCCCTCCACACTCAAATATGCAGTGGAGGCTCCAAATAGAGGCACCTGTTGGCTTCATGAAGATGAGCAAGTGGACACTCACCGGGCCTTAAAGATAAATGTCAGTACCTGGACAGGCTAACCTCAGTCCTCCACTAAAGACCTCCCCTGTCTTTCTGCTCCCACTTCCTTATACACACAGGCGCCCACACACACACACACACACACACACACACACACACACACACACACACACAGAGGTCAGCTCCTACAGATGCCACCACTTAAAGACTGGTTATCTGTGCAAATGGCTCAGAGGCAGACTGAGCTGACATGGTCTCCAAGTCAGGTGCTGTTAGAGGCTCACACTGAATCGCTTCAATGAAAAAGAACAAAACACAGCACAATACAGTATTTCTGAGCAGGGTCAGCTAAGTTTTCAGAATATCTGAGCAAAGTTACTCACTTTGGCATATTGGACTATGATTGGACCACATTCCAAATGGTCCACAAGTAGTTTTCTTCTCTCCACTTAGCTCAGTTCCTTCTGAGCAACTGAAGGTACACACAGAGGTAAAGCTGAAGTTGGCCAGGGGGTGATTACAGTTCATGGTTCCCAAGTCAGGTGCTGTTAGAGGCTCACACTGAATCGCTTCAATGAAAAGGAACAAAACACAACAGCTCAAAATAGTATTTCTGAACAGAGACCTTCCCTTGACCAAAGGATTTTGGTTTCAACTATCTGACTTAATAGTGGAACCATCTACATGAGACTAGAAATCTCTAATTGCTGAAGTTCCTTTAGATCATGCTCCTAGACATTACTTTCTTTTCTTTTCTTTTTTTTTTTCTTGACATTACTTTCTTGAGATTGATGGTGTATGTGATAGGTCCTGAGTGATGCCAACAGGGTACAGGAAGCCAACAGTGCAGTGGAGGTGGCTGCTCCAGGTTCCTGCCCAACCTGGTGGCTCTGCAGCCCTGCTATAAATGCTGTGCCCTGGGCCTTCTGCCTCAAGAGTCCACAGAATATCCTCAGGGAATGTAGAGTCTACAATTTTTCTACCTGATATAAAGTCTACCCAGGAACATTTAAAATTATCTTTTCTCTGAAGCAACTTCAACTTCTATAAAACTAAGCAGATTGGTTGCTTCTGATATTTCTCTTGACAGTAAAGCTATTTAAACTGGTGAATCAGAAGCATTCAAGATTTCAGAAGTGCAGACACCATCCATTTTCTCCTGTGTGGTGATGATTTTGGCAGGTAAAAAGTGAGAGATGTTACTCTTATTTCAATTTTTTTAAAAAGGACAAATTGGTTTTGTTTTTCAGTGGTTGTTTTTCTCCTAAGAGTTCATGTGGGGGAAAAGTATGACATGATTTTAAGAATATACCAAATAAAACAAGGTAGACCTCTACCCTCTGAGAAGGAAACCAGATTGTGTTAAGTAGGGCACCACATAAAATAGGTGTTATTGAGAGGAGAGTAACCAAAATGTAACTGAGACTTAGCAAGACTGATTAGTCGTGTTACAGCATGTAGAAAAATAAAGAAAACACAATGAGAACATTGCATTGTTACAAATCATGTTATAGACTTTCAGCCAGCAAAAGAGGCACTTCATGGTAGTTTCATTTGGGGATATACTTTTTAATTTTAATAAGAAAAATGCCTTTGCAAAGCATCACAGTGTAATCTAAAATATGTCATATACTGCTCAAAAAGAGGTTACAGCTTCTTAGCAAATCCTTCTGCAATTTTTCAGAATGAAAACCCAGGATCATCATGATAAAACCTATAGTCTGAAGTCACTCACCTTGGCAGGTTGGTTCTAGAGATGACCAGTTTCCAAATGGTCCACAAGTTGTTTCTTCCATCCCAATTAGGTTGGTTCCATTAGGGCAGTTGAAGGCACAATGTGAGCTAAATTTGAATTCTCCCAAAGGGTGAATACAGTCCATGGTTCCCAGCTCTGGTGTCTCCAAAGATGCACATTGGGCCTCTTCAGTAAAGAAAGGAACAGTGCTGGGAGTGGTTACAGGGATCTGATGGTTGGATTTGAGCCCTACCTCTGCCACTTGATAAACACACGTCTGTCTTGGGGTTCAAGGAAATGTCACTGGAAGCTATGTTCCCAGTCCTGACTTTTAAAGACGAACAGGTATAGTAGGCCTGTGCACAATGAGAAAAATGCCAGGAGCAAAATCAATCAGACACAAAGCACAAATGGTTGGTGGAGAACTAACTCTAAGTATTGCTAAAAGAAAAGAGGAGACAGTGAAGAATGTGAGTTGTGATTAGTGAGAAAGATAGGTGCTAAGACCAAATACTGTTATCTTTTTCACTGATTTATGAGCACTTAGTATATATTAAGAATTACCTTAGGCCTTAAGGAGCTTAGATTTCATCTTGTAAGGCAATGATAGATGTAAAGAGTAGATGATCATTTTGTGTGTGTGTGTGTGTGTGTGTGTGTGTGTGTGTGTTAAGCTGATCAGCCTACCTATAGTCTGAGTAGCATATGTGAGAAAGCTAACTTAAAATTGTGGGGCTCATTTAGGAAAAGAATACTGCAATGATTTAGTAGAAAGATAGTGAAGACAACTGTAATGGAGTTGAAAAGTAGGAGATAAATTAGAGAAATGTTATAAAAATTGGTAGCATGTTGCCTTGCACAAGTGTCAGAGGAGGTGGGAGTCTCACATCATTACCACATGTAAAGGTTGATTCCACATGCTGAGATAAGAATTACAAAAGGGAAAGGTGGCTGGGGTCAACTGGCTTTGTCTATCATCCTTTGGACCTACCAAAGGATACTCTTAGCACATTTGGGGTGAGACAGATTTGTCTGTGCAATGAGTACACATGGTTATAAACCCATGTGTGTCAGTAAGTTTGACCAAAGGATCACAGAGAGTCAGAAGAGCAACAGAAAAGACAGAAGCTGAGAATTAATACTAGTTTATGGGCTTGACTAAGTGTCTATAAAAGAAACCAGGAGAAATGATCATGGGTAAAAATACAACCAGAAAAGAATGATATGACAGAAAGACAAAAGAAGCAGGAAGAGGAAGAAGAAGGGAGGAGAAAGACAATATTTGGAAAGGAGTGAAACTACGGTATCCATGATATAAGGATTTTTTTTTCCAAGTCCTTTAAGGGGGTAACAGAATCATGGCTCAAGGGTGAAATGAAATGAGTTAGATTTATACCTGTTGGTTGACATTTAAATTTATTTGGACTTTAAATTTTTATTTCTTGTGCACTTGTATTCTTCTTATGATTTATATGCACTGGATGCATTATAGTTCTGTAACCCAACTGTCATCAATCAAAAGATCTGATGCTGTCCTCAGTCGTGGCTGATTGGATCAAAGACTGAACCCTTGTGACCTCTCTGATTTCACAATCGTGGCTCTAAATGATTTCAGAAGGTTCCAGATGACTCTCTCCATCCTTTCTTTGCTTTTCAATCTACCCTATCTGGTGTTTCTAGAATAACTGCCTTATCTTCCAATATTAAATGCAGAGTGGCCCGTTATTGCCAAGTAAGTGCCAGCTCCCTGTACTCAGCAGTCCCCGGTCCTCACAGGTATAATCCAGGTGTCTCCTTTTGCCTAAATTCATTCAGAATTTCCATTCATCAACTCTAACTTTTTCAGTGATGAATGTAGACTAGGTTTTCTTGTTTAATATTCCTTAAATACCCAGACCAAATAAACGTGTAGAATTTTATATATTTTTTTATATATTATTTAATGTACTGTGTATCATTATATGATGTGATTTTCTGTAAAAAATAAGATTTAGTTTCTAGATCAATTTACCCTCCTAATAATAAATGGTATAGTTTCTTTCAGATTTTAGAATTCTGATTATTGCAGGATACTCATCAGATTGGGAACTCGTTGATAGTGGGTGTCTATCGCACCTGATTTCTTATTGCTACCATCTTGTCCTTTGTGACACTCAAAGCAAAACCAAACACACCCTTCCCCAAAAAGCTTGTTGAGAAGTGACTTTTGAAATTCACCAGAGCCTCATGCTGACTTGTGAAATATTTACAGAAAGATAACCATTGTGAAAGCATAACCCTGATCAAAACTTCCCATTTCTCAGAACAGTTAGTATCATTTTGTCCCAAGCAACTTCTAACATAAATTACTGTGATACCTATGCCTTTGTATGGAGAGGAACAAAGAAAGGAAAGGAACTTACCGAACTGGCACTGGGGCCCATAGAATCCCACATCACAGTTGCAAGTGTAATTATTGATGACTTCCACACATTCTCCACGGCCACTGCATGAGCTGGGCGTGCAAGAAGCTTTAATGAAGTCAGAAAAAGATATCTTAATGTGACTCAGAGTAATTTCCTTAGACGTAGTTAAAGTTAACTTTTGTTGGAGACTATTTTAATAAACAGGAAGAATTTTTTTTGTACACTCACTATAATAAATGATATAGTTTATACCATTTACTTTTGCATAAAAGTCATGTGCTAATTTTTTAATTTGTGAACCACATTAGACATATGGCCATAGGCATTTATCTGCTTTTAGAATAAGTTTCCCAATAATAACATTTCGGGGACATACAGGGGCATATATAGAAACACTTGAAATTATTTGTTTTTCATATAACACGCTCATAAGGGCTGGCCAGATAGCTCAGTGGATTAAAGTGCCTGCTTAGGCAGGGAGCAGTGGCCAGAGTTCGATCCCCGGCATGCTGTACTGGCCCCACCCCCTGGGCGCACTGAGATGGTGAATGAGACTGGGTGTGGTGGTGCACACCTGTAATCCCGGTGCTCGGGAGGCTGAAAACAGGGGACTCACTATGTGTCTGATCAGAGTAGTGAGACCCTGTACCAAACATATATATATATATATATATATATATATATATATCAAGCTCATTAATCACAACCTCAATCATTTCTGCACTTTGCTTAACAATCCCATTCTTTATAGAATGCTAAGATTAAAAGATTCAAAAATCAAAAGTAGTAAGAGTCAATGTATATAAGACCACATTCACTATATTTCACTGATCAACTATGACTTGGAAAAATATGTTGTTTGAATTTTGCAATAGCTTTCACATAAATGCATTTTCATATGCTGATAGTGCAATGTTTTTCTGTACAGAATTAATAAGATTAGGCCAAGAAGGAAACATCTAGAACAAGCCCTCTACTCCACAAAGAGGAAGCAGGTGATTTGTACCCAAGCCATGGCCCTGGCTGTCCAGCTCCTCTTCCCTACCTTTGACACAGTGGGCCCACTGCCTTGATAGAACTGAATTCAGGGGTGTAGGAACCAGATTTACACAATGAAAATGCTCAGCAGTGACAAGATCTAGCTGATTTAGAGGACTGGAAGTGTTTTAGATGAAACAGCCAGTGCCATCCTTCCACGACCCTTCAGTGGTATGATCAAATTGTTCTAACTCAGGTGGCCATGAGCAGGAGGTAGCAGAGGACATGGTGTTGTCACTCCTACCTGTGTAGCACAGGGCTGCCTTCCGTTTGTGGCAGGCATCATCATTCCACTTCCCCGAGTCTTTGCTCCTCTTGATGTAGATCTCTACGCAGTCCTCCTTGGACTTCTTGTTGTTAGGCTCCCCAGTTCCCCAATTCTCTGCTTCCTTAGTGAGGGACTTGTTGGTTCCCACCCAAGTCCATGTAATTCCTATCTTCCGGATTCCTATCCAGTAGTAATAGCGGTTGTATGGCAGTGTCTTCTGCAGGTACTCGATCTCTCCTTTGTTTTGGATGGCAACTAAATCTGTATAATTTGATTGACAGAAACGCCTAGCCATTTCCCAGGACATAGCCATTTTAGAATAATGGTAAGTCCAACCATTGGTGCCATGATGTACCAGGAAATCTGAAAGACAACAGCATAGCATGTGTGAGGTCTCAGCAGTAACCTGGATGAGCCCACCCCTGGGAGATGAGGAGCAGAGACTGAAGAGGACCCCAGTCTTAACTGTGTATACATCAGGCAAGGAGCTCAGATCTTCTCATGGGAGGGTAGAAGCCTTTGCTTATTCAACCTTTCCTTGGATGTGCTGGATTTCTGGACTTATTTTCATGAAATAGTGTTTTCTGAAAATGTGTTCAAGTGAAATTTAACCAAAGTATTTTAGAAATTTGTTTTTTTTTTCTTTTGTGATACTAGATTTAATTGAATCCTGGGGAATTCTAACCAAGTACTCTATCACAGAGCTGTAACCCCAGTTAGAAATTCAGAAGCTGCAGCAGAAGCATTGTAAATCTGAGCCAAGTCTGGGCAACTGAGGAATTTAGTGAGACCGTGTCTCAAAAAATACAGACAGACAGACAGACAAACAAACAAACAATTAAAATAGGAGTAAAAGAAAATCTTATTTTATTTTCTTCATGGCTGTTAATTACTTGAAAATAATAGCATATTACTATAAAACTTGTAGCCTACTTTTCAGGGCATAATTTCCTAAAGGCCAATATGTATTATGGTTTCCATGACATATGTATCAATTTCTAAGACCTGCTCCTGAAATTAGAACAGAAAGGACAGTGACATACTATTACATACTGTCTACCATATCAAAAAGATAATAATTTATAATAGAAAAAGCTGTGCTGGAAATGCCTCAATTCATAGTTTAAGCCCTACATAGCTAACTATATAGAGCAGAAGAATTTGCAGAACCAAATCATGTAGAATTATGAAACTGCTTACATTATGTTATGTACATGAAGATAGCCACGAGAGAGTGCTTAATAAGCATATGGCTGCATCAACTGTAAGGGCTTTGAAGAAACAGCATAAAACAATCATTACAGAGTTATACAATGACCCTTTCATGATAGATGCCATTCTAAGCATAGTTTCATCGATGTGAAATACTAATTCACAGTATTTTACAGTGAACGTTTTCACGGTCATCTAACTTCGTTGTGTTTTCACAAGACAAGCACCATGGAGAAATGCCAAATCAAAGTTAGATTGAGCCCTTAAGTCTCCTCAGGATTCTGAATAAGGAAAAACAGACACAAAGACAAAACAATCAACCCCCATCAGATGAAATACTCCAGACATAATCAGTGAACTGGAAAACGTTTAATGAGTGAAGAATACCCTACAATAGCACCAGAAACATGATTTTGAAAGTGACATTCCACTAGAATGTAAGCTCTCACATGGAATTAACTGCTGTGGCCCCTCTGTATCCTTAATACCTGAAACTTAAAATAGGAGAGACTCAGAAAATACTCCCTAAGGGAAAATGATGCCAGGTTCTCATAAGACACATGCTGACATGGGGTTGGGAATTTGGAAGAGATGATTGAACCTTATGTAGAATGTTTAAATTTTTAAAACGCATCACAGTAAAAGACACATTGCCTCAATCTCTCTCAAAATCTTCCCCTTACACACACACACACACACACACACACACACACACACACACCATTGTTCTTGCCATTTTCTGAAGCAGCTCTGGAAGTTCTCTTTCCTGAGTGTCTCTCAGGGTCTGATATAAATGTGGTGAAGCCTGCTGCCCAGTGCCATCCACCAGAGGCAAGCTTCTAAAGACATCACAGTGCGTCCTCCTCCACCTTCTTCACTGGACTGGACATTGTGCAACTTCTGGCTTTTCCCCAAATCAAAAGCAATCATGAACGGTAAATAGTTTGCATAGATTCAGGACACTGAGTCAGCCACAACAATGGAACTAGTGACACTCACAAAAGATTTCCAGATTTGTTTTGGAAAGTGGCAATCATAAGGGTGTTAGAAATGTGGAGGGTGGTCAGGAAGATAGCTCAGAAGCTTAAGTGCCTGCCTGACAGGTGCAAGGTCCTGAGGTTGATCCCCAGTACCCCAAGCAGATATGGGGGTGTTACTTTGAGGGGATTAATAGCACGTGTGTTTTACTGCAAACATGTTTTCTACTGTAAGCGTTCACCATACATGTTTTCTTTTATCATACTGGGAATTAAGAGCATGGCAGGTGTGCCTGCAGGGTCAGATCTGAAAATCCAAGGAGCTAAGAAGACATTAGCTTAGTCACAAAATAGCAGAGAAAGCTCAAAGCTGTTGCTGGAGAGTCTGTAAGACTCAGACATAAAACTTGTAGCATCAATGGAAGAAGGATCAAAATAATTAAAAGCCCCTGCCTTAAGGAAATAGAATCTCCCTGTAGAAATTCCACTGATAGACAAAGTATTAATAGCAAATGGAGTGCTAAATAGCTGGCACAAACGATAAAGGCCCTATGAGAAATTTTGAATTAACTGTATCTCTCTTAGTTGAAATTGTGAATTATCAGTATTTGGAGCTGGACACAAGAGGTATGGCAGGTGAAAATAGGATCAAAGGAAATGCTAGAGGGTAAGAAAATAAAAGTAGTGTTTGTAGAAAGGATAGAACTGCAGCTGTCTCCCTAGTGTTTTTCCACCCAAGTATCTAATCTCAGCGAATATTCAAGAAAAGTGACGCATAGCTAAAAAGTCTTAGCGCTATACAAATATCACAACATACCACTACAGAGCACTGCCCAGATCCACAATTTGAAGATCTTCCACAAGCCACTTGGAGAACTGTGATATTTCCATGGAAATATCTGCAAGGAAATACAAAAGGATAGTTAGACTGCAAACCACAAATGCTGCAGAAGTAGACTCTCACCAGAGACAATGTAGAAGGTAGTGTAGGAGGGTGGACATTAACATGACAGAGAGGACAGATTCTAGGATCACTTTGTGAGAGCATAAGAACATTTGTATTTCTGCCATTTTTAAAACCACAGACAAGATTGGCTGCCTCTTGTCCCCATGCAACCTGGCTCTACCACTCCAAGAAGAGTTTCTATCTGAGTATTTGGAAATGACAGAGGCTGGAAGCTCACCATGGCTTTGTTGGGTTTTTCTCCAGTTCCTCTGCAGCCTTCTCAGCTCAGCCTCTGGGGGTCTGGGTCCCCGTAAAGGGGAGCTGCTGTGCTTCAGCAAGATTGTCCCAAGTGCCACCCACAAGACCTGCTTGCTTTCATTTCTCTAGCCCAGTCTCACATGCTCCTCCTCCCCTTCTTCCTCTTCTTCTCTCTCCTCTTTCCCTCACCCTTCTCTAGACTGAGTGAGCACTATCACCTCTGATAAGAAATCAGTGCAGCTCTGGGGGTACAGCTGTGTGGCACAAGGCCTGCGAGACAAGTAGAAAGTCCTGAGGTTGATTCATGGTGCACGCGCGCGCGCACACACACACACACACACACACACACACGGGGACCAATTGCTCTTTGCATTCCCAGAACAGCTTTTTCTATTATAAATTATTATCTTTTTGATATGGTAGAGAGTATGTAATAGTATGTCACTGTCCTTTCCGTTATTTCAGGAGCAGGTCTTAGAAATTGATACATATGTCAGGAAAATGTCATAGGACTCTCCTGCTATGTATATTTCTAAAGTTCTGTGTAAAAATGTGTAATTGTCTATTTTTTAAAAAAATTCTATTTTTTCACATTTGATAGGGATTTAAACTTTTTGGCTGGGATTACAGTTGTGCACTGCCATGCCAGGCTTCAAAGTTTGGGACCAATTTATGACATCTGTCAGCAGCAGACTAATTTCAGTTCCTTCTCCCTCTTTCCTTGCACACCCCCTAGTGGAAGCTTTTGTTCAATACACTTCCTAAACTTCACATCCTATATATTTTTGCTTTCCTTTTCTTTCCCTCCATATCATATTTATTATAAATTTTCCTCCTTCTCCTTGTTACTCTCTTTTTTCCATCCTTCTTTCTCTCCTCATCTTTCTTGTTGTCTTTATCCATTTCGCTATTTGTTTTTCCCCACTCATACATTTGTTTAAAAAAATTAGGCTAACCCCTGTCCTGGTAATGGTATCGATTAAAACTGTATATATTCTAATAGTAGTTTTATGCTTGGAGTGCCTGTCATTCTGGTCTTCTGAATACGGGCTGCTTGTCATGACATGCCATTTGCTGCTGTGCTGTCTCTCGGATAGATGATTGTTCAAAAAAAGGGGGTGGTGAATGAAGGCAGGAGACAGGAAAAGGAATGTTGTGGGACTGTCCTTCAAGGGTTGTATATGGTTAGATTTCTGGATTTATTTGTAAACATAAGAATCATATAATTCTTCATACTTATTTTTAAATATATATTCTAATTTTTAAATGTTTTCTTATCATATTCTGTAGGGACTTAAAGTTCAACATATCAATACTTGATGAAAAACACCTGTTCCACATTATGCTTAAGATGTTTGATATTCAGACAGGTTAAGCTTAACAGCCTAGGTTGTATGGTAATAATAATAAACTTCGCTTCTGGAGGGTTAACAACTTAAGTTTGCAGACCAAAGTTAGAGAAAAAGGAGGGCTGCAAGGAAAGCCAACATTTTGGCACTAGCCTTCCAAGGTCATTAAGACTCAGGACATATGAGAACTTGTACTATAACATCATGTAACTCAGTAGTGTCCCAAATTTTCTGATCAAGGATATTGTGGGGCAAAAGAGGAAAGTGATCGATGATGTAGAGTGTGCCAAAGGAGAGTCACATGGAGAGAAAACATTCTCTCAGGCTTTCACAGAGAGCACATTAGCCAAGCAATGCTGTGACTCATCCACATGGTTGACACTGACAAAGGTTCTACAATCTGAGGTACAGGATCTCAGGATAAATCCTGAGGGGATTTCACTGACCTTATCAGACCCAAAAGCTACAACTCTTGTTGCATAGGTCCTGCTTTACCTTGGTCTTAACCATCCAGCAGAAAAGTATAAAAACAAAATATAAGAAGTAAAGCCATGCTGTTATGTTGAGCTGTAGGGGACTCAGGTCAATAATTTCTGACATTGCCAGTTAAACAGAAGACCCAATGCTATTATGGGCTACTGGACTCTTTTAGACTATTTTGCTGAGTTTACACACCTATAATATTCAAATAACGGAACTTAGAAAAAAAGGGGTATACAGATGAATGTCCATTTTGTATCTGTGTATTTAAAGTGGTTAGGATAGATATATAGTTACATTCTCTTAATGAATAGAATGATTTGTTCTAATGGTGTTTGTAAATAGGATATCATGTCTGCATCTTGTATAGCAATTAACCACTAGGAAGAATGTATGCAATGTGTTAATTATTGAAACTGTCCTAGCAAATTGGTTTGAAACTGTCTCATTGCTATTTGTTTCTCAATAAAATTATAGGAAAAAACTTTATACATATATATATATATATATATATATTCCATATACCTTAGACATAGTTAAAACTTTTTCTTGGAGACTACTTTAATAAACAGGAAGAATCATTTCATACACTCACATAACACTTTGCATAAAAGTCATTTGCTAAATTTTTTATTTGTGAAATATATTAGACATACAGCCATAGGCTTTTATCCATTTTTAGAACAAATTTCCTGATAATAATAGTATAACATTTTGGAGACACACAGGAGAATATATATTTTTTTTCTTCTTTTTTTCAGTCTCACTATATAGTTCAGGCTGGCTTTGAGTTCACTTTGTAGCCAGGGTTAGTGTGAAACTCACAATGATCCTCCTGCTTCATTCTCCCCAGGTCTGGGATTACAGTTGTGCACTACCATGCCCAGCTTCAAAATTTGGGACCAATTTATGACATCTGTCAAAGCAGCAGACTGGACTAAGTTCAGTTCCTTCTCCCTATTTCTTTGCGCACCCCCTAGTGGAAGTCTTTGTCAATGCACTTCCTAAACTTAAACCCTGAGGTTTAGGAACCTACAAGTATCTTTATATATCTGGAGTATAAAATGTGAAACAAATAAAGGAGCATGCTATTTCTCCCTTTTTTCCTCTTAATTTCTTATATATTTTTATTTTTTCTTTCTTCTTCCAATTTTTCATGCACATATCTGGTAATATGAATAACTGGTTGGAAGACAGTGCTATACATTACAACAAATATAGTGAAATTCATATTACTTTGTTAAGTGAAATTCTGTATCACTTGTAAATATTCTGTTTTAGTACTATTGTTTTCTTACTTTATAAAATAAATTAAAAGGAGCATGTTAAGTTAGGGTTCATCTGATAAAAGACAACAGAAAAGGCAGTCACTGGCATAATCAGATTTGCATTTTAAGAACTGTAAAATCACAACAAAAGCTGTAGGGTTCAACACCTCATTTAATCCCCTTGATGAATCTTTATGACATGTATCTTGGACACTTTGGGGATGCGCCTTGGAACCACAGTGTCAGGCAGTGTATTAAATAAAGCAGACACACAAGTTTAAATATTGTATGTCTCCTCTTACATGAGAAATTGAAGGTATAAATAAAGAGTAAAATATAAGATAGAAAATAGGAAACAGGGAGATGCTTTTCTTTTTTAAAATTAATTTTATTGAGAAAGAAATAGCAATGAGACAGTTTCAAAACAGGTTAGTAGGACAGTTACAATAACTAATGCATTGCATATTGTTGTCTTCATAGTAGTTATTCATAGTACAAGATGCAGATATGATATCTTGTCTAAACACTATTAGTACAAATCTTTCTTCTCA